GATCCACAATTATCACTGTTGCGGCGTGCAACCCGATCCACAATGTCTACCTCTCAACCTTGCCCAAGCAACGGTCACAAATAAAAGGCAGGGAGTGAACAAGTATTTGGAAGGAAATCCCAACAAGGGTACACAAACAACCAATAATAACCATGCAAGAGTAAATCGTTATTTCTCTTTTTCTTTCATTTTCATATCCTAGTTCTCATTAGCACTCGTGTCAAGCTCCAAGGCATCTCTCATATCATATGCTCTCACCATTTGTATTTCAGACTGAGCCAATGCTCCACGGATTTCCACAATCACAATATCTTTCACAAGGTGTTTAAAATGCATCGAAGCCATCAAATAAGCATGGAAGGCATAACAATATTCAAACAACCCACATAAAGGACTCACGGTCATGCTAGACCCCAATGTATAGGAACTCGTCACCATGCCTATACATCGTACTCGATCATTTAGCAATTAGCAAACAAGACTCGACTCCTATTCCCTCAAGCTAGGGTTAAACCAAACACTTATCTCAACTTCCACGGCCAATACAATCCTCCACAACCGCTTTCCCTCTCGAATTCGGCTCCAACTCAACCAAATCTATGCAATAAGGACTTCATGATATCAATATGTGCTAAACCAATCAAACCCAATGACTAATTATAGCTTTTTTATCAATTTACCCCAAAAGGTCAAAAATGCCCCCGGGTCCACATGGTCAAAACCCGAGGTTCGAACCAAAATCCGATTACCCATTCCCCCATGAACTCAAATATGTAAGTTATTTTGGAATCGGACCTCGAATTGAGGTCCAAAACCCCCAATTTTAGAAAACCTAGGTTCTACCCTAAATTCCCAATTTCCCCATTAAAATCTTTGTTTTGAAGTTGAAATTATGTTTAAAGATGTTAAGGAGTAAAGAAAATGAGTTAGAAATCACTTACCAATCATTTTGAAGAAGTAGAATCGTTTGGAAAATCGCCTCTTATGTTTTGGGTTTTGAAAAAGTGAAAATTGACTGAAAATCCCGACTTTATATACTATGCTGAAGACTGGCGCGGACCGCACAAAAATGCACCGCGGTTGCGCTGAGGAAGGGAAGAAAAATGACTCTCTGAACCTACCCAGCACGGACCGCACTGATTTGGTGTGCGGCCGCGCTGGTTGGATGGACCCAAGACCCACTCTCTGAATCTCCCAGCGCGGACCGCACTGATTTGGTGTGCGGCCGCGCTGGTTGACCTAGAATTCACTGGCCCTCTGAACCTAGCCACGCGGACCGCGCAGAAATGCACCGCGGTCGCGCTTGGGGCCTGCAGCACCTGAACCTGCAACCATCTGATATTTCTAGCCTAAGACCTCCCGGGACCTACTCAAACTCACCCGAGCCCTCGGGGCTCCAAAAACATCCTACGGGCTCATCCGTGCGATCAAATCGCCCAAAAAATATCATAATCATCAAATTAGGCCTCAAGACCCAGGATTTCCTTCCAATTTTCATAAAACATCAAGTTTAGAGTTTGTAGTCCAAAGCACGTCAAACGACGTCCAAATTCAACCAAACTTTACAGAAGGTACTTAAGCCGTATATAAGACTTGTACCGGGCGTCGGAAACAAAATACGAGTCTGATACCACAGTCTTTTAATCAAATTTCATTTCCAATTTCCTTAATTATTTCCAGAAAACAATTTCACACAAAAATTCATTTCTCGGGCTTGGGACCTCGGAATTTGATTCCGGACATACGCCCAAGTCCCATATTTTCCTACGGTCACGGGTCCGGGTCCGTTTGCCCAAAACGTTGACCGAAGTCAAACTTAATCGATTAAATACCAAGATTTAACAATTTTTCTCACAAATTTCATATTTAAACTTTTCCGGCTACGCGCTCGGACTGCGCACACAATTCGAGGCAACCCCAAATGAGGTTTTCGGGGCATCAGAAGTACAGAGGGAGTAGGAATATAGGTGATGACCCTTTTGGGTCGTCACATTCTCCACCTCTAAAACAACAGTTCATCCTCGAACGGACAAAAGAAAGGAGTACCTGAGTCGGGGAAAAGATGGGGATAACGGCTCCGCATATCAAACTCGGACTCCCAGGTCGATGCCTCAGGAGGCTGACCTCTCCACTGAACACGAACAGAAGGAAAGCTCTTGGATCTCAACTGACGAATCTGTCGGTCCAGAATAGCTACCGGCTCCTCCTCATAGGATAAGTCCTTGTCCAACTGGACAGTACTGAAATCTAACACGTGGGTAGGATCGCCGTGATACTTCTGAAGCATGGATACATGGAAAACTGGATGCACGGCTGATAAGCTGGGCGGAACGCAAGTCTATAAGCCACCTCTCCCACTCGATCAAGAATCTCAAACGGGCCAATGAACCAAGGGCTAAGCTTGCCCTTTTTCCCAAATCTCATCACGCCCTTTACAGGCGACACCCGAAGCAATACCCGCTCACCAACCATGAAAGCTACATCTCGAACCTTACGGTCTGCATAACTCTTCTGCCTAGACTGAGCTGAACGAAGCCTCTCCTGAATGATCTTGACCTTGTCCAAGGCCTCCTGAACCAAATCCGTACCTATCAATCGAGCCTCTCCCGGCTCACACCATCCAACCGGAGACCGACATCGCCTACCATATAAGGCCTCATAAGGAGCCATCTGGATGCTTGACTGGTAGCTATTGTTGTAAGCAAACTCCGCCAAAGGCAAGAACTGATCCCACGAACCTCTAAAGTCAATAACAGAAGCTCGGAGCATATCCTCCAAAATCTGAATAGTCCGCTCGGACTGTCCGTCCGTCTGGGGATGAAATGCTGTGCTCAAGTCTACCCTTGTGCCTAACTCTCGCTGAACTGCTCTCCAGAAGCGTGAGGTAAACTGCGTACCCCGATCCGAAATGATAGACACGGGCACACCATGAAGGCGAACAATCTCCCGAATATAGATCTCAGCGAACCTCTCAGAAGAATAGGAGACTGCCACAGGAATGAAATGCGCTGACTTGGTCAGCCTATCAACAATAACCCATATCACATCAAACTTCTTCCGGGTCAACGGAAGTCCAGTAACGAAGTCCATAGTAATCCGCTCCCATTTCCACTCGGAAAGCTCAATCCTCTGATGTAAACCACCAGGCCTCTGATGCTCGTACTTAACCTGCTGACAATTCAAACAACGAGCCACATATGCTACGATATCCTTCTTCAT